TCTGAGAGAGACAGAAAGAGCATATATCCACCTGGAATACCATAGTCCTCCCCTGAACATTCCCACAAAATCAGTGATGAAGGGCAAGGATGTTCTAAAGAAAAATAACAAGATTTCTAAAAGTAAATTTTTAATGATGACATTTTCAGAGTCAACAGTGTATACCCAACCTCCTTACAAAATTTATGTGAATGTACACAAAGATGACAGAGAAAAGTGGAACTTTTCAAGGCAGAAAAATCTATAAAGACAAACTGCATAAATTCACTTTTTGCCATTTTACCATCTGGATAAGTGTAAAACTCAACTTCAAAATGGCAGAGGAGACATCTCATGAGGTTTAACCTACGTTCTCTCCCTGGACACATCCTAAAGACAAGACGGGTTCCTTGAGGACTACCCAAGAGCCTCTTCTCCCTGGATTCCCGGTGTTTCTCACTGGCGCCTCCGGAGGAGCTGGGACAAGGACATGTGATTAACCAGTAACTAAGAGGAGGTCTGCTAGGTGAACTCTCAAAAGTGCTTCCCCCGTCTCTTGGTGATTATGTCTGTAACAATAGCCTGGGAGTGTGCAGCCATGTGGACCTGAAGGGGAGATGGCTCTGGTCTGGACAGAGGGCAGGAGCAATGATGAGCTTGCCTGGACCACTGAGCCTCAGGCCCCAAACCTGGATTCTCCCAGCCTCCACTCTGTGGTTACATGAAATAAATATTATTTTCCCCAGAACTTTCAGCTTTTAGTGGGCTCTTCTGTTAAATACAGCCAAAGGGGTCCCATCAGTACCCTGAAATCCTGTGAAATAATTTCTTCACTATTCTCAGTAGAGTGAGGGCAGAACAGGGAGGCACACACAGAAATAAACGAGAGAGCTAAGGAAGCACTATTGACTCCGTGGGCCTTGTCCTCTCTACCAAGTAAGGAATTTAGACAACGGAACTCTGTGCTTCCTCTGTGTAGAAATCCCAGTGCTTCTTTGTACAGGAAATAAGGAGAAACTCAGATACACAGGCAAGTCTTTCATATGGCACACACAATATTTATAATTATTCATATGTAACTTGGATTTAAATGAATTTTAAACATGCTGCAAAGGCGTTAATTCTAGAAGATTTACCTAGGAGGCACTGCTTTTCAGAATGATCTTGCAAAAAGTGCAGACTTTTAAAACACTAAGTTATTTTTGCCATGGAGTGGAATGCCCATGGTATTCCAAAGATTTAGCATCTTTTTTTTAAAAAAATTATTTATTTATTTGACATGTAGAGTTACAGACAGTGGTAGAGAGACACAGAGAGAAAGGTCTTCCTTCCGTTGGTTCACTCTCCAAATGGACACAAAGGCTGGAGCTGTGCCGATCCCAGGAGCCAGGTGCTTCTTCCTGGTCTCCCATGCGGGTGCAGGGGCCCAATGACTTGGGCCATCCTCCACTGCTATCCCAGGCCATAGCAGAGAGCTGGACTAGAAGAGGAGCAACCGGGACTAGAACCAGTGCCCATTTGGGATGCCAGTGCCACAGGTAGTGGATTAACCCAGTATGCCTTGGCGCTGGCCCAGAGTTAGCATCTTAAAACACTTCAATTATACTTGTTGCAAGATACTACTACAGTTGAGGCTAAATCCACCCTCTAATGACTCACAGAGAAAATAGTCTTAACATGCTTTCTTAGACTCTAGTTGTCTTTCTGTATTTTGCAGTGCCATATTTCTGGTTTCATCTACTAAAAACACACCACACTCGTGAATTCCAAGTTTCCTTCAACCAGACAAATCTATTCAGATACGAACCCTTCTCTCCCCATTAATAAATGATTCCTGGGGTCCTTCCCATGGTGAGAGGAAGGGAGAAAACAGAATCTGTTGTTCTAAAGTGTCACAGTTTTAGGAATACAGTGAGAACATTACTAGTAACTGTGCAAGGACAGTGGACATACCTGCCCCATGTGTCCCTCCCCTGAGAAGGGAGGGGACCAGAACACGTACTCATAAGGCCTCCATCATCCACCCTCAGAGTCATCATATCCCTCCCTTTCCCATCAATCACAGCCCTATAGGGGTAAGCCCCATGGCCCAGCCACGTGAGATGTTGCATTAGCCAAGAGAGTCAACAGCCCTGCTTTTGTTTCTCCCTCTTCTGTCCCCACAGCCACTGAACACTAAATCCTGCTGAGTTCATACTGGAGCATCTTTGGAATGATTCCCCGTCTGTACATCTACGGCACCTGCTCCATTTCAGACCGCATGATTTCTTCCCCCAGAGCATCACAGTAGTGCAAACCCTGCCTCAACCTCTCCTGAAATCCTATCATCACTGCGTTCTTCCCCACATGGATGGTGGCATCTTTGCCAGTGTTCATGTTTGCCCTATCCTGAGTTACCTCCCAAAGCAGACCCTTGCTGACAGCCCCGTTTCACTTGGATGTGATCCTGAAGGCAGTGGGGGTGGGGGTCTGAGTGGATTTCCCAGTGGACACTTGGATCCTTCCTTCTGAGGACTGCAGAGTGGTGGAGTGTGGGGACCCATGAGCCAGCCATGGGCCCACATGCTAAGGCTTAGCTTGCTGACCGATTGCAATAGTTACTGCTGTGTGGATGTTTATGGTTTCTGTTGAGCTGCGATATCGGGACCTTTCCATGACCCCAGGGTTGAGTCTACAACTATGGCCTTGGGGCTTCCCGTACTTCTGTTCCCACTGACCAAGGCTGAGAAAACGCCAGGTGGAGCAACGATAAGCTTTCTGCTGGCGTCCAAGCTGCCTGCTACATGACCAGGAGCTTGATTGGATGAAGGCGCGTGATCACCTTTATGGTTGGACAAGGAGCGCATGGACTATGCGAGATCAGGAACCCGATTGGAGCACTGCTGCATGGACTGTAGCATGGACTAAGCTTGCATTACATGCTTCTGCAATGATATACTATATAAGCCATTCGTGAAATAGTAACGGGAGCTTCCCCTTTCTTTCGGAGCTCCCCTTGCTCAAGGGTTTCTCTTTCTATCCTGTTTAAATAAAAGTCTACTGAAGACCGATAAGCTGTGAGCAAAGTCGTTCCTTTGTGGGCAGGGGAGCGACAGTGGAGAGTGCAGCTCAGGACCAAGTAAGGAAAGTGGTGCAGAGCCCACCCTCTGCTGGTGAGCTGGGACTGGGTTGCCTGTCACTGCAGATCTGGGCTGTGTCACAGACTGAGAGCTTCTGCAGGCTCCACAGGTGCTCAGCAGAGGGGCCCTGCAGCAGAAGGTGTGAGCCTCTGCGAGCACAGGAGGCAGTCAAGGGCGTCCTAGGGAGACCGGGTACAGCAGAGAGGAGCTGGGAGCAACCTAGGGAACTGCACACAGCCGCGGAGGAGGCCTGGCTGCTGCTCCCCTGTGTGGCTTTTCTATTTTCATTTAACAGTCGCATTAAATAAAACTCTTCTTTTTGATAGACAAAGTAATGGGATGACTTTGTCAGTAGCCAGCAAACAACAATGTTTATTCTATTTATGTCAGGCTTGTTTGCTATCCAGATTCATGCAACAACAAAGTAGCGGAGCCAGAATATAAGGCAACAAGAACAGGGACTGGAAAATAGTAGATCCTTGGCAAAATCTGCATAAATAAACCACTGAGCAGTTTATATGGAAAAATACACGGCTTGGATTAGTGTAATTGATATCCCAGGGTACAAGCCAGCTCTCATGCATTGAGACACACCGTGGTGTAACTTGGAGCCTTTCATCCTACCAACAGCAGCCCCCAAGTCCTCATGTTTGAGAAGAAAGCCTACCAGAGCCTGGATTTTACTCAGTTCTGCTGATTAAAGCCTCTATTTTCACATAAATGCTAGCTGAGACTTCAGAACTGAAACAAACAAACAAAACTCAGAAGGCATTAGAATGAAAATTTTACTAAATATAAAATCAGAATGTTTCTTCTTTTAGGTGTAGCTCAACAGCTTTAAGAGGATTCTGTATAATCATGAGGAGCATTTTAATAAAATATAGATAAGGAGAGGTGGTAATTTTAAACATGGAACCATTGCTAATAACACAATAATGGGCAAATGGCTTGGATTTAGTAAACTTAATGATATTATAAAGGGATTCTTTTTAACAATGATTATTTTAGTGAAATCCATTCTCAGAACGGGTTTCTGATAGTCTTTTTAATAAAATCAAATAATGTAAGATTTTCCACTTGTTTTTTGTTTATTTGCTTATTCACTAGAAAGCATCTACATGGAACTTAAAGTGAATTAAAAAATTATAACAAATGAAACCTAACTATCAGTAAGCTTTATTGGACCATAATTTAAAATGCAATAACATAATTTAAAACTATGTGTACACAATTTATGGAGAAATAACCTGGCATTTTATCTTCTACTACCTGTTGAGAAAATGTATGTTCTACTTAAAGTATGTAAGGCTAACGGCAGAAGGTGCTGCCACTTGTTGCTTTCAGGAGAACGTAAGGGACCATCAGAGGGAAAACATGAACAGTGACTCAGACAACACTGTTGAGAGAGCTTCATCCAGGTACTGCAGGGACATTCCTAGCATCTGGTGGTAACGTGCAGAAGTACTGAGGGATGAAAGAAAGCTTCTGAAATGGTGGATGAGTCCTGAGGTGAGAAAGGCACAACAAATCTCATTTCTGTCTGAGTCCCACACCATCCTCCAACAAATGAGGGTCCACAGACACAGTGTTTTATCCCAACAGTAAGACAGAAGGAAACATGGCCTTTGCAGCTTGTTTGCTTTCAAGGGTGGGAAATGTCCAGCTCCTGGGCCATAAGATAATTTGGTCTTGGCCCTGTCAAGGCAACTGTAGGTACCTGTAACTCAATAAATCCAAGCAGGCTAAATTTTAGGTCAATAATTTTCTATGACTTGCCAATGATGTTACAAATATCCAAACGGCCCTCGGCAGAAGGAGGTTCCCCACCCCTGGCTGGTTGACTGAGCTGCAGCGTTGTTGAATCACCATGTGGAGGTGGGAGGTGGGAGGTGGGAGCCTTACCTTGTCAGGATCAGTTGTCGTGATGACCCACACACAATGAGCATTGTCTTCATACTGCACCGGGTAATTAGGGGAGGTGATGACACCACTGGGCCCACGCAAATTTGATCCACACGTTCTGGCTGAAAACACATACAAATAATATTATTTTCTATGACCTTTCATGAGTGTAGTAAAGACATAACCCTGGGGGCTGGGATTGTGGTTTAGCAGGTAGAGCCTCTACCTGAGATGCAGGCGTCCCATATGAGTGCCAGTCTGATTCCCGAGTGCTCCACTTCCGATCTACCGCCCTGTTAACGGCCCGGGAGAGCAATGGAACAAGGCCCAAACACTTGGGCCCTGCATCCACGTGGGATGTCCAGATGAAGCTCCTGGATCCTGGCTTCCGTCTGGCCCAGCTCTGCCTATTGCGGCCATCTTGTGAGTGAACCCGCCGATGGAAGACTTCTCTCTCTCTATCCTCCAAATACATAAATAAATCTCATTAATTTTTTAAAAAGATAATTTTTATATGGAAATTCAAGCTAGCTATTAACTGAGTATGATAAAAAATAGTTCATGAACTCAAGTTGGCAAGTGGATGATGTGTGGCCCTGGCATCCTTGGTTGATATCTGCGATACCACACTGGAACATTTTATTATATTTCTTTTTTTAAAGATTTATTTATTTATTTGAAAGTGAGAGATAGAGGGAGAGACAGAGAAATTTTTCATCCACTGGTTCATTCCCCAAATGGTCATAAGGACTGGGGCTGAGCCAGGAGCTTCATTTGGGGCTCCCATGTGGGTGGCAGGGGCCCAGGGACTTGGGTCATTTTCCTCTGCTTTCCCAGCCACATTAGCAGGGAGCTGGATCTTAAGTGGAGCAGCAGAGACTCAACCCAGAGCCTGTAGTAAATGCCAGTGCTGCAGGCAGTTGGCTTAACCCACTATGCCACAGCACTGGCCCCTATTATATTTCTGAAGCACCATTCTTTCAAAGCATGAAGCAACTGATGACAGCACTGTGGATAATGTTAGTATCAAACTAGTCCACTTCAAATCTGACATTATTAAACAAATCTTCACATGCATTTAATTGTATGGGTCTATTTGTACATTGAGCTGTACTAGGATGCACTAAGTGTCATGGGATGCCCAACACAGTGGCTCTCAGGAGGCCACAGCTCACGATTCCACAATGTCATGCTCCAAGGGGCACTGAATACATGGTTCCAGCGCCTGCACCTTCATCCTCTTAAGTCTAAATAAGGAAAAGACAGTCTCCAATGTCTCCTGCAAGCTTTAGACTAGATCCCACAAACAACTCTATAAAATTCCACACAGTACAAGGCAAACAGGAGTTTAAAATTGCTTTTTTTTTTTTTTTTTGACAGGCAGAGTAGACAGTGAGAGAGAGACAGACAGAGAGAAAGGTCTTCCTTCTGTTGGTTCACCCCTCAAATGGCTGCTACAGCTGGTGCACTGTGCCGATCCAAAGCCAGGAGCCAGGTGCTTCCTCCTGGTCTCCCATGTGGGTGCAGGGCCCAAGCACTTGGGCCATCCTCCACTGCCTTCCCGGGCCACAGCAGAGAGCTGGACTGGAAGAGGAGCAACCGGGACAGAATCTGGCGCCCCAACTGGGACTAGAACCTGGGGTGCCAGCGCCGCAGGCAGAAGATTAGCCAAGCGAGCCGTGGCGCCGGCCTTAAAATTTCTTAAAGGCCCCAGGAGGAAGATTAGAAATGGAGAATCTAAAAGGAAAAAGAAAATATTATTTTGTTTTACATCTTAAAATTGAAATGAAAGGCCAAGTAAAGCACAGAAAATGCATAATCCAGAAAATAAGACTTAGTTTTGAATAGAAAATACTTCAATTGTCCTCTTCCTTAAGAAAGGAGATTATTTTTTCCAAATTAATAGATAATCTTTAGAAATCTATTATCCTGGATACTAGTATTAATAATTTAAATGAGGTTTGAGAAAGGAACAGAAGAAACTAATTTAATGAGAATTAATTAATATAAGAGAACCGCTGTTTCATCACCCTAAAACATGGAACCTTAGACGGCGCGGCGGCTCACTAGGCTAATCCTCCGCCTAGCGGCGCCGGCACACCGGGTTCTAGTCCCGGTCGGGGCGCCGGATTCTGTCCCGGTTGCCCCTCTTCCAGGCCAGCCCTCTGCTATGGCCAGGGAGTGCAGTGGAGGATGGCCCAGGTGTTTGGGCCCTGCACCCCATGGGAGACCAGGAAAAGCACCTGGCTCCTGGCTCCTGCCATCGGATCAGCGCGGTGCGCCGGCCGCAGTGTGCCGGCCGCGGCAGCCATTGGAGGGTGAACCAACGGCAAAGGAAGACCTTTCTCTCTGTCTCACTGTCCACTCTGCCTGTCAAAAAATAAAAATAAAAAAAAAATAAAAATAAAAAAAAAAAAAACATGGAACCTTACAAACTGATTTAACTGTCATCCAATGACGGATTAATCCTAATGCTAACAATCCCTTTGGGTTCTTCCCTTCAGGTGAGGACCTAACCCTCATTAGTTGTCATTCTGGGAGACCCGTCTACAGAACTGAAGGGACTCAGACTCCTGACCAAGGAATATGTTGTAGGGTGCAGGACTGCATCAGAAGCAAATAGTTTGCTTGCTTTTTTTCTAATTGCCTCCAGGAATATATGCTCCTCTCTTCCAATTGTACTGACACAGCATTACATAAATTATTCCTACTCCTGGCTATACTTCTTTAGTGTGATGGTTAATCCACAGATCTCTCTTTCTCATACAAGTGTAAATTCTCTGACCTTTCCTTATTTATCTGTCTATCCTCACATCACTAATCCCTGACATGTATAAACATGATAAGACTAGACAACTCTTTAGCAGCTTTGTATTTACAACGGAAATTTAAAATTAACCTACTAGACACTGAAAAGCATTTTAAAAATAACTTTGAAAATATTGGTATTATGGCCGGTGCCACGGCTCACTAGGTTAATCCTCTGCCTGTGGCACCGGTACCCCGGGTTCTAGTCCCAGTTGGGGCGCCAGTTTTGTCCCGGTTGCTCCTCTTCCTGTCCAGCTCTCTGCTGTGGTCTGGGAAGGCAGTGGAGGATGGCCCAAGTGCTTGGGCCCTGCACCACATGAGAGACCAGGAAGAGGTGCCTGGCTCCTGGCTTCAGATCGGCGCAGCGCGATGGCCGCTGTGCTGATCTGAAGTGGCCATTTTGTGGGGAGGGAGGTGAACCAATGGAAAAGGAAGACCTTTCCCTCTCTCTCTGTCTACTCTGCCTGCCTGAAAAAAAAAAAAAAAAAAGAAAGAAAGAAAGAAAGAAAGAAAGAAAGAAAGAAAGAAAGATTTATTTCAGAGAGTAGAATAAAAAATCGAGCTCTGGCCATTGTGGCCGTTTGGGGAGTAAACCAGCAGATGGAGGAGCTCCGTGTCCCTCCCTCTCTGTAAACTCTGCCTTTCTTTCTTTTTTTTTTTTTAAATATTTATTTATTTGAAAGTCAGGGAGAGAGGAGAGGCAGAGAGAGAGAGAGAGAGAGAGAGAGAGAGAGAGAGGTCTTCCATCAGATGGTTCACTCCCCAATTGGCCGCAATGGCCGGAACTGCACCGATCCGAAGCCAGGATCCAAGAGCTTCTTCCAGGTCTCCCATGTGTGTGCAGGGGCCCAGGCACTTGGGCCATCTTCCACTGCTTTCCCAGGCCATAGCAGAGAACTGGATTGGAAGAGGAGCAGCCGGGACTAGAACTGGTGCCCATACGGGATGCTGGCACTTCGGGCCAGGGTGTCAACCCACTGTGCCACAGCGCCGGCCCCACTCTCTGACTTTCAAAATAATTAAATCTTTAAAAAAGAAATGTCTCTATTTTTGCAATGTATTTTAATAATAAATAATAAATTATTTTTATTCTTTCTTTACCCCCATTTGTATCAAGCCATCAAAATAACCAGTTGAAATATTATATGTAAGAACATTCATAATTTTTGTTTGCTGATTGGTATGATTAGTATGACTGATATATGGCTTTTGACTTAAGTCACACCATGCAGCTATAAGTACATAATTCTATTGCCCTATTTTAGGAAATCACTGAAAATTTCACCTACTGCCTCTGCCTTTTCCCTTCTAAATCATCTTCATCCTCACCAGCTGCCTCTTTACCATCTGACCACTCCAGTAATTATGAGTAACTAGTTACAACTTTCTTGGGCCAAGGTTTCCCTAACAATAACGTGCAGCTCTCATTTTTCCCAGCAGGAACTTCACTAAATGTAATCAAGCATATGGCTTCAGTTAGCATAACTTCTATCATTTAAATGTCGACATGCTGAAGGCCAGAATGTCCATTGCCTTCCAGACCTCCTGCAGCACACAATATTACCTACTGTGCACACCCTTTGGTTGCATGGCAGAAAGGGTTTCAGTAATTTCTATGAATTTTATAGTGGATCCAACCCACAAATTTCTGCTGTAACACAGTCTCCCTTTCTCTTTCCCTATCAGTTTCAAGAAGCTGAAGATTAGGTTTTTCAGGCCTATTATATGTTTAAAAAGCCAATCATTGGGAAGAAGAAGAGTTAAAACAGAGCATCCTGGGAGAGAAGAGATGAAACAGGACGGACTGAGAGTCCCTCTGAATAGAAGTGGATGAATCAGAGTCAGTAGGTCCAAGAGCTCTGGGAATGATCAGTAGGCCATGCTTGCTGCCTTCCCTAAGATTCTGGTTGGTTGGAACAACAGTGATGGAAAAGTCAGCCTGCAAGATGGGAAGAGTGAGTGGGTGGCAAGGCACATTCATTGATATCAGTTTCTTTACATCTATGGTGCTTTGCCAGGTGTTTCTGTGTTGATCTGAATTGGAGTGACACTGATTTCCAGAAATTCATAAAACAGTGCTCTAAAGTTAGAAATCAGGAGCTTGTCACACTGGCTGTCTTTTTCCACTCATGGACTCTGCTGTATTGTCACTCCATGCTTACAATGGATTGTATAGCTCCCTGGACAGGTGGGAAGCTTAGCGAAACCTGTTCTGATCAAGATTGGACAATTTCACAGTGGCCTTGGAGACTTGCTCATTTTATGTGTTTCTGTACTAAGCAGATGTTCAAGTAGTCAACAAAATATTTAGTGA